GAAACGTTAACTCTGTTTTCTCCTTCACAGATGCTGCCAGACCTGCTGAGCTTTTCCAGCAACTTTGTTTTTGTTCCTGATTTACAGCATCCGTAGTTCTTTTGGTTTTTCTTTATTTGCCAGTTATTTTTATGGCTTTTTGTTCTGAAACTGCCCCACAAATGGAAGTATTTCTCCCCATCAATGCCTTTTGTAATTTTTAATACTTTTTTGAAGCCCCCTTTGTTTTAGAGGGGGAAGCAAAAGCAATAGCCTTCACAACTTACTCTTATGGATGCATTCTCTCAATTCTGGTAACATCCTGAAAGTCTTTTCAATACCTTCTGTCTTTCATTGTTGTTTTTGTAAAATGGGGACCAGAGCCATACTTTGCAGCATATGGTCAAACTTTACTCAGAAATGATCCCTTTTGTTCATACAGGAAGGTTAATATTATGAAACCTTCAAGATGCTTCATTACAGTATGGTGAAACAAAATTTGCTGTACAATCCGCATAAGTTTTCCACAATGGTCTGTGCCATGAATGTCTAACCTTGTTTCATACATCCTGATCAGCATAATAAACTGTTAGCCCTTTTGTCAATGTGTTAATCTCCTAAAAGCTTCAATTACTCCCTACCTGGCATAATCAAGCTCAACATCTGGTAGGTTCACTCCAGCGTTTTAAAAGACTTGAGTTTGTTTTGAGACAAAGTTCAAAGTCTTCAGGCTTTCTTTTATTTTTCTATGATTGCGAGGCCTGGGCAACATAATAAAGCTGATTGCCTTCAGCCTTAGATCTCAAAATCGATCTGCAATGTCAAGTGACACAACAAATACCTAACAATAGAGATAACAAGCTGTAGAGCTGGATGAACACAGCAGGCCAAGCAGCATCATAGGAGCAGGAAGGCTGATGTTTCGGGCAGTTCCTACTATCTCAAATACCTAACAATGTTAAGCAAGTAAATGAACACATACCCCTGTACTGCTTTGCTGGGGAAAAAAATTCAGTGCATATTCCCAGTTGCCAAAATACCCTGCTGTGTCCGAAGAGCAAACCGATAGTGGGGGGAAGGATTGGCAGAAGCCATTGCAAGCAAGTCAGTATATTGATGCGAGAGAATGACAAGCATAGCTTGTCATTTCCCTCTCTGATGCTAACTTATCCTAGTTATGTTTTAACTGGCTTGTTCGTTTACTCACTTGCAAGTACCTGGTGGCCTTCGTTTCCACTCATTTGTTCAGCATGAGACTCTCAGACTGAGTGCATTCACACTCGTTTACCAATTGCCCACTTTCCCGATTTTTCAGGCTGGTACACACTTTTCCCCATTTGTCCCTCTCCCAAACTGCGACAACTTCCCCATGTCATTCCAACTTTACCTTGACGTAGCAGTATTGTCTGTCGCTCTCCATCTCCAACCCACTGTCCTAAAACAAAATGACTTTCATTACCCTACATACATTTTGTTTTTAGAAAGGGTCAGTAAAAGAAAACTTAAGAATTCCACAGATCCATTGAAAAGTTTAAAAAAGAAGCAGGAATAAGGTGGTAAGTGATTGATTTGCATTCTCTGTATACTGGGAAGTGTGCAATATAGCAATAATAGAAAAGAAAGTGTTTGTGATAACGACAATACAAGCAGGGAGGCCCAGGTTCAAGTCCCACCTGCTCCAGAGGTGTGTAATAACATTGCTGTTGAGGTTGATTAGAAAATACGAGTGACGTTTTGAGAAAAGGATGAAGGTGATAACAATAATTGGTGTCAAATGCAGGTTTATGCAAATTCTCTTCCTCTGTGAATAAAGCAATTGGAGGTCAACTCCGATATTTACAGAACGGAAGGAGGTCATTCAGCATATTGGTTCCAAGCTGGTCAATTAAAATCTGACTCCAAAAATTTTATTTGCATAGCCCTGGATGCTATGACAATGCAAGTGAATATCTAAATGCTGCTTAAATATGTTGAGAGTTTCTAACTTAACCAAGCTTTCAGACTGTAAATTCCAGACTCCCACCACCCTCAGTTAAAAACATTTTCCTCCACTCTGCTTATCTCTTAAATCTCTACCCTTTGTGACCCCTTTTCCATGTTATCTCTTTGCACCCATAATCTATCAGCTTTCGCCTTTCAATCCTTGCTACTCTAAGGAAAACAAGTCTCTGCCTGTCTAATTTTCCTGACAATTCAGATCCTGTAACCCAGGGAGCTTCCTGGTAAACCTCTGCACTCTCTCTAAATGTGACTAGAACTGTATGTGTACTCCAGAATTTTATACAGTTCTTAAGTATTTTATACTTCTTTAGGGTCTGTGCCATATTGAGTCCTCTATATCTGTCAGAAACTGCATTTTTTCCTTAATCCTAACCTTCGTGTCTATTGCTCTCCCAGGTTCTCCAGTCTTGTTCCCACCTCTGTCTTCACAGGAACCTATTGACCTTGTGCTCATGTTATCTCCTCCCTGAATGTCTCCTACTGCTCTGGCACAATTTTATCTGCAAGTAGCTGCTTCTAGTTGACTTGGGCCAAATCATATCTTTTTCTCAAGCACAACTCCAGTCTGTTCTCTCCCTTGCCTACGCATTGTGGGTCTACCTACAACACATGTACTGCAGCAGTTCAAAAAGGCAGCTTGTCATCACCTGAAGGGCACTAGGCATGGGCAATAAATACTGGCCCAGCCAGCGATGCCCATGTTCCATGAGTAAATTAAAAAAAAAACTCCCTTTGGAGAGAATCAACCTTTTATTTTCCTAACCAACCAGTTCAGATATGTTATGAAACACCTCTGGAGAAGGTAGAAATTGAACCCAGTCCTCCTAGCTCAGAAATGGGGGACACAACCACTGTCCTGCAAGAGCCAAATAATATCTTCATAATATTAACCACTTGGTGGGGGTACCATTTAATTTTGGTTTTATTCCCGATCATTCCTTATCCTTTTGCATAACTATCCTAAATTTAACTAAGTTATGGGCACTATGTGCAAAATGCTTTCTACCTGTTTGGGCTTTTTTCCAAGTATTAGGTGCAGTACTGTCCCCTCTTTGTTATGGCTTTTTTGTATACTGGCTATAAAATTTCTCTTGGATGCAATTTAAGAATGTTGCTTCCTCCCTACCTTGCATACTAAAACTATTCCAGTTAAAATTTAGATGGTTAAAAGATCCCCTAGTATTATTGCCTTATTAATCTTACACTTCTGTGAATTTTGATGACATATTTAATCCTCCATTTCTCCCTAAATGTTTGGGTGCCTATAATGCGCACTAAACGCTTTGTTTGCCCTTTTGTTTTTAGTTTTTTTTCCATGTGGCCTCATTTGATTATCATTCCAATATATCATCTCACCTCACTGCTATGATTAATTCCTTGATCAATATTGTGAACTCCCTCCCTTCTCTTCCACAGCCCTATTTCGTCTTGAGTATTCTATACTCAAGAACGTTGAGCTGCCCATCTTTCATCCAAGTCTTGGTCATAGCTATGATATTGTACTCCCACGTGGCTGTCTGTGCCCTCAGCTCATCTATTTTATTCTTCAGGTTAAAAGTACCATGGCCTCGGTTTTGGCTGACATCCACGGAGGGAGCATTACTCACTGTTGTCCATGATCTAGAAATGGTTTATGTGGGAGGTTAGGGAATTCCCTCATAGCATGCCTGATCCCCTCGTTCTGACAAGTGGTCACCCATTCCCCCTCTGCCTATATTTCCTTAAGCTGCAGGCTGATTGTGCCCTGAAATGTGCTATTTACAAAACTGTCAATGTTGTGAATGCACAGTTGTGCTTCTAGCTGCCACACGATTTCCAAATCCTGGATCTCAAGTTAAAGCTATTGGAGACACCTCCTGTACCCATGGTCATTCAAACTACCAGAATGCAGGAAGTGCAAATCATAAGCGAGAGCTTCTCAGTCATGTCTTAACTAATATGGACCACAGTAAGAACTAGAACCACTTAATTCTATAGTTTTGAAATTCTAAAATATTAATTATGGAGTTTATAAGTTATACTTACAGTCTTAACCTAAGGGTCTTGTGAAAATCTGTAGCTCGGGTTGTGGGTGAGGTTGTTGATTTGCTCGCCGAGCTGGCTGGTTATAGTTCAGACATGAATTCCTAGAGGCCTGGTTCTCCACCTATAATGCAATCAATAAACATGTGGAATTAGGTACCATATACAAACCCTGGCAAAAAATGAACCGGAAATGACACAAAACACCTCAACAGACCGGATCATATAAATACCAAGCGGAGCAGAACAGCATCACTTCATTGGAGGCCGCACTGATGATGTTACCTGGCATGGTGATGAAACGTCTTAAATATAACCAACCAGCTCAACGAGCAACTCAACAATCTCCGTCTTAACTAATTAAATATTCAGTCAGAAGTGACAAGTGAGAAATACACATCAATTACCAACCTAATCTTCTGTGCTATCACACTTTGATTTTGTTGAAGGAGCTCCGCTGCTGGTCTGTTTGTTTCTGGGACCTCTCCGCATTCACTACTCCTTTTAACCACACTACCGTCACCAGTC